TTTACTTTAGAGTAAATTTTCAATTGTTATAATATGAACCACCGAAAAGACACTTAAAGCTAGAACAGAAGCGATTTGAAATATGCAAACACTTACAGGGAATTTCATTTTTTAAATAGTAAAAATGTGTATCGGTTTTCTAGTACGAAAATCGTCAAAGCTTTTCTTCTACTGTAGACTATTGAAACATTCTGAAGATTTTTAATTGGGATCTAACCGATATCCTAAATCTTCGCATTTATATCTATAAGGCATGAAAGCGGAATTTAATATCCACACTTGAGCGACAGTGCTGAATAAAGCTGATGTCCATGCATTATTAATAGATAAGAACCGCTATTTCAGGACGTTTAACCACCTGTCATAAACCATTGCTGGCCTGTCTGCACCATCATCACCGCACACTATCTTTGGCCTGACAACTATTATTGTTCCACAAGACAACCGCAAAATCAAATCACCATTGCGTTACTCTAAAGATAGTTCTTTAGTTCCGAGCCGAAGGTTTATTATCTTTGGTTAAGCTTAAAGCACAAGTAATGCAAAAATAGGAAGCTTTTTATGTGTTTTACATTGCACACGCTAAAGAAACGAACGCGTATCGATTGAATAACTACAAATTTAGAATATTAAATAATATTTTGGAATTCGCTATTTGCAATGGATAATTCAGATTCGTAAAAGCTATAAGCAATTGCAGTAAACGCTTACAATGCGTACGTACGTAACATTTTCCAATCCTACAATATTTTCTGCTGCTACGTTTGTATTGAAATTTTAAATTTCACTTATGAGCCAGCTGACAAAACAGCGTACTATTAACTTTCCCCGGTAAAATGTATATTTTCCAGAGCAGTATTGAATATTAAGAGTTTTCCTTTGAAATTATATAAATGCGACCCGAAAACGTAGGTATTTTATTGCAACATTGCTTGAATTCGTCTGAGTGCCACACAATCATATTCTTGCAGTTGCTAACATACATAGCCATTTACCACACTTTTACCAGAAATTGAAAAGTGACTTCAATGGCCTCTTTCTTTAGATCCCGAGAAAAACAATGCATTTATTACTTTCTTGTCGAAGAGAAAATCATCAGGCTCTGAGTTAATAATTCTATATGAGTATACATAAAAGGTTGACTACTTAGTTGAATGCTGTTTCAGTTCCCGTTGCAAATATAACTTATAATGTATATTGCGTTCATTGCAGTTTGAGATATACATTCAGGGCCTGTGTCTGCACACTAATCGATTTAGCACATCACTCAGTTATAATTTATTACTTTGTAAGTCTTTTAAACTTAAAAGTAAGTCACGGATAGGACGCTTTCATAAAGCGTTTTTAACTGACGAAGTGAGACCACGATCATGAATTCTTCTATAAAATTACATTAGAATGGGTTTGGAAGAATTATACGACCGATATTCAATGATAAGGCAAAAGTTCAGGAAGATCAATTGGGAAGATTTGTGTCAAAAATCTATGTCTATTCGACCTTAGAATAAGGAAAGTTACCGAAAGTGAATAAATTTCTTTCGTTTCAGAATTTTATTAGGTTGGGAAATGTTGCTAAAACTATTTGACATCTTCAGCAAACATGTTTATGTATATTGTAGAGGCCACTTTTATTGAAGCACTAGGTACAGAACGCAGCAATATATGAACCTTTAAATGTATATTACCAAGGAAGGACAAAACATATGCATTTTGCTATTCAACAAATTCAGTAATGAGTCTCGACAAGTTAATAGACGAACATTACATTAAGAATAGAAACAGAAGGTCCCAAAACTAATTCCACACAATGCAAATTTTAATGTTTTTGTACATCAAATCTACAATTCATTCCCATTATTTACATCTATTTGATTCCCAGGAAATCAGATAATTTTTCATAGTCTCCATTGCGGAATTATCCACACAAAGAGGTTCTGTGCTGTGGAGAGATAAGGTTTTTATAAAAGGGAATTTGTTTTAGAAATCCTCAGAATACGACAAACGAGGAGACAAATAATAGGGCTTTTGTAGTTTTAAAATGGCTTTTTATAATAAATTTCTTTGTGGTGAATTTTGCAGCATAAGTTTTACTTGGAATGCAAATTAATGCTTATCTGATGGAATCTTTCAGCAGATTAACTGTGCCTTTGTAGATTGATTTGAAAATGAGGCAAATATATACTTAACTTAATGCAACAATAACTAACTTAAATAGTACGTAAATACGACTTGTATATTACATATATACGACCAGTCATTTATTTATTCGGTTTATAAATTATTTAAGAGGCAACGCAATAAATCAAATGTAGAAGAAACTAAAGCAATGTTTTCAACTAAAAGTTAATAATAAAGTGTATAACCATAAAAGTAACTTCTGCATTAGATCAAAGAGAAAGCTACACTTGCTTAGGAAAAACTCCATATAGATTCATACTGTTCAGTATCTTGATAACCAGATAAATGGAGGCAGTTCAATTTTATTTTCATAAATATCAGCAATTGTATGACTTTGAAGAAAGCTATTATGCGATATATTATATATATCGAAGATAATCATAATTATGTTATATTTTCAAGCAACTTCTCTATTTTTGATCTACATTTAATACGCAGAATATTGAAGAATCTTGCAGAAAACATATAAATATCGTTAGCAAAATAAATATGCTTTTTGGTAAAAAAACATATTGAAGTTCTGAAAGAATATTTTTTAAATTAAATGAAAAATTGGTACTATTTACGCGAAACTAAAAGTCACTTTCAAGTGTTTCGCACAGATAAAGTTACTGACTTTTCAGTTGTAAAATACGTATTTATGTTACCTTTTGCGTGAGTTGTGAATTCAAACATGTATATATTGGACCGAGAATTTCTGAAATTTAACAATTTTCTTAAGCACTTAAAATACTGGAACAAATTCGGTTTTTTTTTAATGTAGTCGTCGCTTTGTAGAACTTTACTATGGAATACTATTATTTGCTTCTCAGGCTCTGTTTTACTTCGATGGGTTTCTGATGTTTTTTAGCATTCTAAATTTTACTTTCATTTTATATTGCGCTATCTTTATAGCAAATTCTTTAAGTTCAGAATTCAGATTCCGTTATTTTGTGTTATATTATATTTCGCGACACTTTTGTCAAACGTATATTTTATATAAGCATTCACACTGCCAGTGACACGAATTAAAACAAAATGGGATAGTCATAACGAAAGAGCAGATTTGGATTCGTTTTAGTCAAATTAAAAAAGCAAGTATATAAAAAAAACGAATCCGAAACTGCTGTCAGTTAAATTACAAGGACAAGCTCGTAGATGAATAAGGTAAATAAATAAAAAATAAAAAGAAAACTAGCAATCCTTTTTGAAAAACGTGTGAATAGATCAGACGTATAAATCATCAACCATCGATTTATGGCTAACACAAATTAACTTTCTTTCTATTTTTTTTAAATAGGCTAATATTCGCTATCTGGTATTTGAGATCAAATTAAACTAATGGAAGCTTAGTTAAAACTGGAAATCTGGTTTGAAAGTTTTATTACATTAGTCCAAGTTTTATTTTAATTTTAAGTTTCGTTCTTGAAAATGTCTACCAATGGCTGAAAATAGGAAAATAGAATGCTGAACAGTCGGATTTAAGCAATAATTTTATACGCCTGAATTTTTTGAGCATTCATTAATTTTTAATTTTACTTTGGAATTTAAATAAGCATTTCAGGGGTAGGTTTCAGCCCAGCTCGAGCATAGATTATTTATGCTTTTGGTATATGTATAATAATACACATATTGAAGCAAGTTGGATATGTAAGTCAATATAGGGAAAGCTACCTGAATATATCTGACATGATAAGTTCAATATTTACTTATGTGCTTGTTGGCTGTGTACGTATACATACTTAATATTGACACAGAAACAAGAGTGATATATAAAACAACCCCATTTGGTACTTAATTGTGGGGCATTATTTCTATGAATACGGAATTTGCATATAAAGCATATTGCCGTTTTTCAAATTAGTCAAGCTCATTCGTATTAGAAGTTTGATTTTTCCGTTAATAAATTAAAGAGATATTAAAATCAGATTTTACCATTACACCTAAAATCGACATACGCGACATTATTAATAAACCAGTTGCATTTGCATTTTGTTACAACACACAAGGTTATAGAACGGTTCAAAACAAAACTATGTGGCTTCATTCTCGTGTGATGAAAAGAAAGAATTGTTCAAATCAAATATTTCAAATAAAAAGGCCGTTTTGTATCTAGCGATTTTAAAATATCTATTTCTGGTCGTTAGAAATTTCATCTGCACTTTCAAGAAGCGATCCTGCTCATTCTGCTCATCACTGATCAATATCTGTCGCGAATGTACTCGGTTTATCGATTATTTATTAATTAATTGTTACACATTTATATTTCGTAGATTCTAATTAACCATTAACCTACAACCTCCTATTTCCTGCTACCTTGTACAGATATTTATATTCCTGATCATACAAATCAGCTTCTTAAATGCAAATTGCAATTTCTTTCCGTCATTATGCATAATTGTTTGATTGCCTTGAACATGTATTTTTTTCTGAAAGCAATAATGTAAACCCAAGTAAGATCAGTCAGTCTAAAAGTGCAAGGTTTGAAACAGTAGGTAACGGCTTAAAGAAATTATACATTTTTATCAGGTAAATAGGCTATATGTAAAAATTGATAAAATATGGGGGGACTTGCAGAGTTATAGAAATGTACAAATATGTACAATTTTATCAGATTACTTTACCGTTAATTTGACGGAAATCGTCAAAATTTAGAAGCCATTTAAAAAAAAACCAGTTCAATAAGTCAGATATATTATGAACCTATTAATTTTAAATTAAGTTTAAATTGTTGATTTGCAACTATATCAGCAAATTACATAATTTTGATGATGGCGCAATTTTACAAATTATTTTGCCGACTTTAGAATAATTGATCATTGAAAACTTGGATAACGTATGAAACAGTTGCTGTAGGCAATCAAGCTTTCAAAAGTTTTAAAGTATCAATCTCGTTTAAGTTGGTGATTTCCCGAGAAGCAGTTCAGATGGCAGGCTCCAAAATTTTGATCAATGATGAAGACATATTTTGGAAGCAGTTATATGAAGAATTTAGAAAGGATAAAGCAGATCTACTAGAATACGTAGACATTATGCAAAAATGGGCTGATAGTCAACCACATTTTCCTGAGCGACCGAGTAAGTAAATCTATGAACGAAAGACTTTATTAGATATGCAGTCATTTGCATAAAATATATCTTTGTTCAATATTCAATATACCTCTGATAAGAATGCAAGCATCCCAAAAAATATAAATTAAAGAAAAATGAAAATCTGAATTATAGTGTAAAGTGCCTTATTGGCAAAATGAGTCGATTGAGTTTCTTTAGAAATACATTTTTCCTCAGTCAAAGCATTCATTCTATCGGAACAACTGCCTTTGAAGTTGTAACATATTCATTTTATGTTCTGTTTCTGCGGTGATTCTCCACGGGTAGATGGAAAGTGGAAGCAAAGCCAAAATTAATTTTAATTTCTTTGTTCCAGGTCATGAAATCCTCCGCTTTGTAATATTATACAACAAATTTAGCATAGAAAAAGCCAAGGCGAAATTGGATATGTACTATTCAATTAGAAACCTAATGCCGGAATATTTTCAAACCCATCCATTAAGCGCAGATATTGTTTTCCATAGTAAAGTGTGGTGAGTTATCGTCGAAACATTTTAATAATGTGAAGAGCAATTGAGAGGATGTAGCTTATAGCAGTGAAAAACAAACCTTTGAAAAATTTGTCAAATTACTTGGGTTACTTGAAATGTGGTTCCCTAAAGAACCCACACTGCCACATCATAACCATTTGCCAAGCGAATAAATTAATTAGCGCATTTCAGCCTCATGGTACCACTACCAAAACCAACAAGTGATTACTCCAGGATAATATACAATACACTTAATCCAGAGTATGACGATCCAAAACACTTGAATCATGATATATTTATATCCTCTTTTATTCATGTCCTGGAATGTTTGATTCGCGAAGATCTGTGCTATAAATTTCATTATATTATGGACTGTAAACCGGTTACAATGGGACATATTCCAAAATTTAAGCCAATGGGCTTTAAGAAAGTCTTCATAATATTGGAAGTGAGTATGTTAATAATTTAGGTGAAAAACATTTGAGCATTTCAAAAGGCAGATTTATTAATATAAAAAGGCATAAAAAATCTCATCAGCGGTGGGTTTTAAAATGATTCCAGATATTTCGATTTCAATTTAAATAAAATGAAGTTTGGGTAAAATCGCCAACTTGCAAAAATAGCTAACTTATTCAAAATATGTTTCAGAAAGTGTTCTCCAATAGGTTAGCGTCGATTTGTTTGGTAAATGTCGCAGATTATTGCGAAAGTTTCATCAATGTCGTAGTCAAACCTATTTTGAGCGCCAAGATGAAAGAAAGGGTAAGTCTTAACGAAAAATAATCAGTAAGAAATTGTAACAAAATTTGATGCAACAATTTACTATTAACCAAGCACATCATCTTTAAGAATCCATGTTATAACGAGTAATGAAAGATATTTGAAATACAAATAGTTTCAAATAATTTTAACTAAGAATCAAACGATTTTAGCCAGAAAATTACTAGCTACATTTGTGAATTCCCTTTTATCCATGTTCATAGTCGAACAAAGTAAAATTCAGTACTTGAATAAATGAAAAATAGTATAAATCATTAAAGTCGAATTGCTCAAATTTTTCGGCGTCCTATCTAAGTTCGCAGTTTGGCAATAATTTTATTGATTCCTGCAATATTTGCAATTATTTCAGCTGAAGATAGTTTCAAATTTTGAACTGACTCAAATATATGGCAAAGAGCGTTTACCCAGAGATGCAGGAGGAGACTTGAAATCACTCTCAGAAATGAATGGTATGTAATCGTATAAAATCATACAAATACAAACTTATTTAAAATAATTACACGGATACCAGAGAGCACCGCAAAACTTATTATAATAAACGTAGCATCATAAACTTAAACTAAAGCGGACCTACACGAGTAAATTTATAAGACAAAAGCGACAAATAATAGCACAAAAATTTGAAAAACTATGATGCTTTTTTAAAGTTGCCACAGAAACTAATCCAACTAAAACCAACCCCTCGTTTTACAATTTTAGCTCACTTTTTCAGATAAGTTTCGGGAAATTTTAATACATTGTGGCAAATACATGTGTTTTGAAATCTAGATATAAGACAATAATTTAAATGAATTGATGCAAATGAAAAATCATCAATTACTAAACAGTATTCGACTATATAAATAAGAAGAAATAAATCAGCAGCTATTTTGTATATTTTCAGATTTATTGATAGAATATTACGAAACGAAAAAGGATGTGTTTGATAAGTTAGAAAAGTTGACAGTTGATGAATCATTGAGGCCAGCTAAATTGAAAAATGATGAAATATTGGGGTACTACGGAAATTTCAAAAAAATTCAGTTAGATTAGATACATGTTTATTAGGCCACTTGCGCGGCCAAAGCATGCCGTTAACGAACAAAGTAAGACCAAGAGCTGTAACTTTGAATAAGAAACTTTTTTAGCGAGTAAGAAACGTTTTTAAGTCTGTAGTCAATAATTTAATCAATAAACGTCGGTATACACAAGTCGTGCGTTTCGTGTGAGTAAGGAACTTAGGGGAGATAGAAGGTAGGTTTCTGAATACACCTTGAATATGAGGCTTAATTTGGTTTTGTTTGAATACAGGCCTTTATGGCACTACTTTATCTGACTCAAATAATTCGGGTAAGCTTCAATTCTTTGTTAAAACAGCTCTTCGTTCAACAAGTTCAGTGTAACAGACACAATTAAATATGAATCACAACTTAAATTTTTACTAGTGTAGATGATAATTTAATATATATATTTATATTTGCGCGACTACACTACAAAACAAAGACCTCCAATGCAGATCCTTGTTTGAAGCTGGTCGACCTTTATGTGTTTTGTTTTTTTAGTTATGTAATACATTTATCTAGACAACATTTAAATAATAAAGGGTGTTCACATTGAAAATTGTAGCAAAAAATGAGTATCACTTGACCCCGATAGTTCACCGGTCAAGGTAGACAACGTAGATATAAAATGTTATAGGCCAGAACCTATTTTACAAATCTTTATTATCAAGATTATGCTAAAAGATTAGACTTAGCTCAGTTAGTGTTAGCGGCTTATTGTATAAATTACCAGAATACATTAGATATAGTTTTTTTTATTATTGTATTATCGTACCCACTATCTAATAATTTAGCTATATAATTACGAATAGCGCATTAATTATAATTGCCTAAAGCACCTAGCTATAAATATGCAATTCAATGATTAGTAAAAATTTCTATTCCTATATAAGTTATCACTCCTGCCAGCTCCAATACTGACATGGAATTGGCTGCTGGACAATTTGGCATGGCAGTTATATTAATGTACAATAATAATTAAAAATAAATGAGCATTGAAAACCGTTCATCAATAATTAGCTAGAAATACTGGCTTCTAAGTCGATCCTATAACTATGCGGGTCTTTACGATCCCACATTTCAAGTAAAACCGTGATATTTTTGCTTCGAGCCGACGAACTATATAATTGCACAAGACTTGCAACAAACGTTTTTATCGTGGTGTTTGCAACTTTAAACATTTGACACCGTTTTCAATAAACCACGTCGATTCGCAATGCCGAACGCGAACTTTTGCCAGTGAAATTTAATTATTCGGTCGGCGATTAAAATAAAAATGAATTTCAATAATTTGCTTCATACGAACAAGGAAGAAGTTCGAAGTGCAGTGTTGGAAAAGTTGGGCAAAAGTGCAGATGATATTGAAAATGACAAACAGCTGTTGAAAAATTGGTTCCAGTATCAGACGCATTTACCAGAAGTTCCATGTAAGTAAACTGATTTTGTTTCGATATTTATGAAAATTGGAAGGCTACCGCTCCAAAGCTACTGTAAAATGTAAAGCCAGATTTATATTTCTTGGCGTGTCTCAATGCTCTTTCGGAAACTAATAAAACTACAGGAATCGTCTAAGTGGAAAAGGTGACTGGTTAATTGGATTTTCTATTAGAAGCTAATGAACTCAGGTAAACAACCTGCCTTTGTTTTCTACATTTTACTGAATTTCTAAGTTGCTTCGTTTCACTATTGATTTCAAATTTCTCATAGAAGCTTTATAAACGCATGAAAACAGTTTCTGAAAACATCTGGTTTTAAAATTACAAGCAATATCAAAACATATTTTTCACAAAGTTTAGGAAGGATTCATTTCGCAAGCTACATTAGAAAGTTAAATCTGACAAAAAGCTAAAATAATCAACGAAATAAGGCAAAACATTAATCAGACTATAATAATTAGCAGCCAATCATCGTTAGAGTTCTTTGGCGTAATTAAGCACACCATTACCACAGTAAACGAAAGTTATTGGAAACCAGAAAAGATTGCATTAATTTTAGAAATTTTACATTACAACGGGTTAGTGCTCACCAACAAATATTGAATACTTTTGAAAATGTTCCTATAATTCGTTTAATGGTCCTAGCAAATATGGTGATCAAATATAAGGTAGCTTAACCAAAAGGACGTAAATGCAGACACAAAAGTTGATATTTTTTTTAATGAATGAAAAAGTGCTGTACGTGTTTTTATGTCTAACGATGGGTCATAAAAAATGCCATAATTCCAGCAGTCGGAAGAAAAATGGAATATTTGGACGAAAAAATAGTGAAAAGTTCTCCTCATGACAATGAAAATAGTGTAGAAATATTTTACAAACATTTCAATCAATCCCAAGTTCTTCCACTGGAATTACCTTTAATCCACTATCGCAGATCCTCATTTGGACATTTTTTTAGTTTATATACACTGTAAAATTTAATTTTTGTATTTAGAAATGATAGCTTATGTGTTTGGGAGTTTATTGCTCAATACATCCGAAAATGCATAACGCGCCTGCTTGTGATAAAACGTATAGAATAGTACATAACCAAAATTTCTAAAAAAATTAACGTAATACAATCCACGATTGGTTGAGAAAAACTGATGAAAAATTAACTTCAAATGAAACAATAAATTATATTTCGTTTAACCAATCATTCTGCAATTATCGAAAGTACATCAGTTGTAATTTTTCAGGTGATTCTGTTCTTGAGCTATTCCTAATAGTGAATAAATTCAACTTAGAAAAATGCAAAGAAAAACTATGCAATTATTACACCATCCGGAACGAGATTCCCGATATGTATGTGAATAAAAATCCCAAGTTTGATCACATGAAGGACATCGCTAATACTGTGTAAGTGAAGCAAAAAAAAATAAAAATTACTAATACAACTAAGATTTGCTGCTTTCAGATATGTTATACCTTTGCCGAAATTAACGCCGTCCTTGAGCCGAGTAACTCTTATAAAACTGAAGGATTTTGATCCCGTGAAATTCAAACCCCTCAATTTTTTTGCCCACACATACAATATTGTGGAGATTCGAATAAGGGAAGATGTGCTGCTTACCGACTCTATTATTTACGATATGGAAGGTTGTCAGGCAAAACATTTGATGAAGATGCGACTGGGATTATTGCGAAATTCAGCAACAATACTTGAGGTAATTTGTGTTTTCGAAAATTGGACAAATTTCACAACGCTCATAATAAAACATATGGAAATTAGCCTTAGAACAATGTTTAAAATCGTAAATTACAGCAGATTTTCATGGGTTTGCAACCCTATAAATTGTTTTGTAATTAGGTCGTTGCAGAAGGCTGATTATCTTTTCTTCAAGTTGACAATTAGGACTTGCATTGTCCGGCAAATAAAATTGGCTTTTTTGGCGCAAATATGAAAGAAATAAAGCAATATTATATACCATAATCGTTTCGCAGTGTTAATAAAATGTACGAGTATATGTAAAGTTCTCATTTTTAGAAATCATAATAACTTTTAAAAATTCAACTTAGCTAGTGTTCATTTAATTAAATGACAAATTCTATTTAGATAACATTGGCAGTGTGTGTTCTATCTATTTCAAATCTACGGAAGTTGTAAATGTATTTTTCTTGGTTTCAGAAAGTGTTTTCGACTCGCTTGGAAGGAATTCATTATATCAACCTACCCAGTTCCATGCAGGTTATAGTAAATCTGATGAAAACATTGTTAAAGGAAAAAATGAGGAAAAGAGTAAGTCTCTTGAATTGTATTTTCCGGCTGTTTCTTGCTAGAACTTTCTAGAAATGACAAAATATTTTCTGATAATTACAGCTCCATGTTCACAAAGACTTGGAGAGTTTGCAAAAACACTTTTCCAAAGAAATTTTACCTCAAGAATATGGTGGAGAGTGTAGATCAATAATCGAGCTCCATGGTAAAATTATTTCCGTTTATTTATCATTATTCTCACTATAATGATGAACTATCAATTTCCAGAACTCTGGCTGAGGAAATTAGACCACCATCAAGAACTGTTTGACCATTTGGATACTTTGCTGCCCCCAAGCAGTAACAACGCGTCTCAAGAGATTGAAGTGAACATACCAGAAAACTGTGTGTCTAATTTTCAACAACTTTGCATTGACTGATTGATGACCACTAATTTGATCTCTAAGATTTGACGATCATTAGTTTACCAAGAGTGAGCTTTAGACAATAGAAGATTTTTCATTGTCTAAATTTATTTAGCTTAAGACATACTTAGCTCAGGAGTGTGTGTGCCTACTATATTTTTGTGAACATAAGCAGAAAAACGTATTTTGAAATCAATATGCATATATTCCCATTTTTCCAAGTCGAAAAATATAATTAGTTTATTTACATTTGTAAGACTTTAAGGCGAATTTTTTGAATTTTGTTACGTTTACTAAAGGTTTCTTGCGTTTTAATTCACATTTTATTAACACAGGAACAGGAAAAGTAAGAATGTGCAGAACTCCAATTTTACCTTCACCTTTGTTGTCCAAAATACATACCATGTATTAAATAGCTAAATAAAGAATACAAAAGTATAATAATCTTATTATCTTATATGATTATTTTTATTTTAAACATCAGACATCAATATGAGATTAAGATAACTCTGAAAGTAAGTTGAAACACATTTTCAAATACTGAGCAAAGGATTCCCAGATACCTAATGTTATAATAAAGATGAAAAATTAATAAAATCAAGGTGTTGTTTATTTCAAGTTTCGGAACATACAATGTGCCTAGTTATTGATAAAATTTTGTAAAAACAATAGAAAACCGCTCGTGCTTTTGCAAACAAAAAATAGGAGTAAAAAGAAAACAAAAATTTCATAATTAGCAGTCTCAAGTCAAGATTTTAAAAAAATGCTGCATTCAAGGAAGATTTTTCAAAGCAATTGCAGCGCAAAATTCAGATATACAAAAACTGTAAATATAACAATCATATTTTAAAATAGATGAGTAACAAATAAATCTATTTTAAGACATCTTACTCAAAATACTTCCAGTTCGACATCGACCATGATGTCTTCGTAAATCAGTAAGCTTTTGCTTAAAAAGAGAAATTTAGGGATGGGCTCGTCTAAATTGATACCCTGGAGATCTAGCTGATATAGAAGCAAATACTTTGAACGGTTCTAACCGCATCGATTTAATTAATATATAAAAGAAATCGGAAAAATAGTTCACAAGTTCACATTACCCTTTTACAAGTCTATTTGCATATCTTAATGAATAAATGCATATCTTAATGGAAAACAACTGGTAATAATGAAATTATKACCAGTTTTTATAAGTTGTCAACAGACAAATGGTCAATAAAAGTGCAGAAATTGCCGAATTGACCAACATAATATTCTATGATAGAAAAGGGCAGTTTATCTAAGCATAAAATAAAGTGCAAGCTCAATCAGTTTTCATTCTTTCACTTTCACTTTCAATCAGTTTKYACTAATTGGAATCCTATTAGAGGAAGTTTGTCGACTTTGTTRTTACACGAGTTGGAATCACTTTCCAACTGTAAGACGACATACTTTTAATATAAAATGTACCCTAACTTAGGTTTTCCAAAGCTATAGAACCGCAAATAAAAGTTACCGYATATTTACGTCTCACGAATACATACAGRCATTGCAAAGTTCGAATTYATTAGTSGAGTTCAGCAGCAACAATAGACACAACAGAAGAGTTGCTCAAAAAGTGTATTTTATTCAAGTTCACTTAAAAACTTATAATTAATAATATTARGATTAATATCTAAATCTTATTAAAACGCAGTACCTATTTTGAACAAGGCTTKAATGCTTTTAAATKAATGTTTCARAATAGTTAATACATATTTCAATACCATCTTCTTTGTTGYCTGTATTTTTATATCCAAATTAATTGGTTACCACAGAGAGGSACTACAAATTACATTTTATTTCCTTCACAACTGTAAAACACAAAATGCACATTTCAATARAACTTAATCAATTTGCAGCTTTTCGRAAACGAGCAATTTTRCTCCRGAACCAACACAAATACAGTTTTAATCGATCCATCAAGAAAAGAACCGAAACAATAAGAAAGCTGCTAGTAACTAACATCTTTAGTAAAAATGTTGTTGGAAAATAGTCGCTTTTATTCGGGTAAATAAATCTATGAGGTATTGTCTCAGCTAATAAACTTGCTTGAGATTTTAAATTAGTTTTAAATCATGCCTTTTTGCCTTTGCCTTTTTTTAGTAACGGTATAAAATTATTACACTACTAAAAAAATTGACGTTCTTCAACGCTCTTTATAACAGGTATCTCAAATCAAGACATTTTCATTCAGAAAAGTGTAAAACTACTAAGTATATTGAAATAAATGAGCATAAACGTAGTAAAAGAATAAAGAATAATAAGTGATGATGGAAATAAAAATTAGTTCTTTTGCAAGCGAATCAGAATATACTTAAATATCGAATTCGAAATTCTGTAAAATTCAAAGCATCCAGTCAATTTAATGGTTATTAGCCTTTGATAGTGCCTATCTTTGATGTGTGTCTACAATTTTGTATTTATTTTAACGATATTGTTTGCAACAGCTGATTTAAGCAGGCAAGAAAAAGATTAACAACTTGCATTCAAATGTGTGTTAATTATTTAACAAAATGAAAAACGAATCAAATAAATCCAAGTTKTCGAAGTCAAGTCAAACAAATAAAATTTKKGAAAGAGAAACCGAAGCTTTARATTAACAAATACTKCTCATTCCTGTTCYGGTCTAGCTATAATGATTGCTAACTAGTATCATTATWTCACAGTGMCAAGTTTTCGTGAAAAATATATGTTATTAACTGGAGCTCACTAACTATTTTTCTCCTAATGTACAGTTTCATTTTTTCTGGTAGTAAATTGCATGTGATTTGAATGTACGCTACATACATATATGTTATTGCCAATGGCATTTTTAAGCATAAACGTTTTGCCAGAGGTTTGCCTGAAATTGTACTGGCTTGAAGGTCGATTTCAAAAAATAATCACATTATATGCCAAAAATTCAGCGAAAAACTGCAATTATTAAAAGTTGTTTCAAAATTCACTTTTAACTAGACTAAAAAACATTACAGTAAGTGTATAAACATATCCATGCTCTGACCCAGATGTAAGCTTTTCTTGTGCAACATTAAATGAAGGCTAATGGCCCAAACCTCTTGCTAATCTTGAAGATATACAACGTTATTTTTCTTATAAGTTTCATCTACTTCATGGCAGACCTCGGTTTCACTTGTTTTGGTGCATATTAGGTAATACTGTTAGTATTAATATAGCTAAAGCTGAAGAAGTGGTGTTTTTCTTTAGAAAAAGTTTTAATCCATTGATATCGGAGAGTACTTAGAAAAGTACAAATCAGCGGTAAGTTTAAGTATATGCCACTGGATATTAAGTATTTAAGTCAAGTTCACTGTTGAGAAATGTATTGTGTACAATTTTACTAATTAAAAAATGACTAGAAAAAAATAAAGAAAGAATTTAAATAATAAACAAGTGCAAGAATGTCATTTGAACACAAAGTTGATAAACTAGCCGAATCAACTAATTTATAAATGCTTTTTACACCTTGCATTGTAGTGAAGAGTTTAAGAAAAGGTATAAGCTAGCCACTTTTCAGGGTATTTCAAATTGAACTTAATTTAAACCGGTTAATAATCAATAAGCAGGTGCAGTTTATTTGGGACGCAAATTAAAATAAAATATGGTAACAATGCCGTTATACATAGTGGTATAAATGTTAGAACATGTTTTTAAATCCCAAAAACTAGCACGACGGCCGGATACATAACGGTTCAATTTTATGTGTTATTGAAAATAAATAATTTAATGAAATCTAACTATTTAACTCTAAAGTCATTGAAGTAATTTGAACAAATAATTTGCAGTACTTCTGAAGTGTTTTGTACTGTGGTCAAATGGTCGAGTGGCTTAACTGATGTTTAAAATTAGAAAACTACGTGAAATGTAGTATCCTCAATAGTAGATAATAGTATTTACACAGACTGAAGTACAAATTACAACCTTTATGATTTTATCTACTCCTTACGTTTATTATAAAAGTCACATAATTTAATTCAATGGTTCGATTAAAGCTTTATGCAAACTTTAATAAAAACACACTTACTTAGAAACTTTACTAAATTATAAAGCAGGTGTTTAAAAAAATGAGTTGCTTAGCACAGTGCTGTTTAAAATTAAAAAAAAGGCGCTGCTCAATAATTATAATCTTTTGTTGCCTTGCAATTAAGTTAATTGGAAGATTTTGTTCCTCAAGATGTCGAGGCTTTCGAGCTTAATGGAAGTAACGGAAGACGAAAAACGAGCGATTCTAGATCACTATTCAATGACAGAAGAACAATTTGAAGAAAACGTGAAAATTCTTAGGACATGGATCAAACAGAGTGGACACTTGCCGCAAGAAGAAGGTGAGTTCTTATCCTGATACGTAATTTACAAAGGTTATTTCACTATTTAGGTGTACGTTCGTGCGGGAAAACTAAATAATTTTTGCTTGTTATTGTAACTATAAACATTAATAATTGATCTTACTTTAAAAAATTTTCATTTTAACTTATAAAACGCTAATAAGGAAGTAATAAAGTTCCCGCAAATATTTATGTTATTTCTATTTTTGAAAGCGCAACAATTTTAAAATGCAATTTGCGATATAGAATCCAATTTGGCATTGTTCTAGGATTTTTTACTTTGGACTTCCTTTTGCTGCTGAGCTATCCTCATTTATTTTGTTTGTTGATCTATGCCATATTGTCTTGCATGTTATAATGCATAAGCGATAAAGTCCGCTATTCTATATTTTTATTTTCTAGATGAAAACAAGTTCCGGTTGGTACTGCTAAATTGTAAAATGAGCATGGAGAAAGCAAAACAATGTGTAGAAGGTTACTACCGAATCCGAACAAGATATGCCCATGAATTTTTTGACAAATTAATTCCTAATGCAAAAGATTATCTGCAAAGCAAAAATCTGGCGTACGTATTCGCAATTATGATTATCTGAAAGCTTAATAAATTCGCATTTCGCCTTCAGAATGCATGATTTAACTTCATTTGGAATGCTACAAAAGTTTGATAAATTGGTTAAAATAAGGCACATTGAATTGTTATTCCCTTTTTAGAAAATCTGTCGTTATGCCTAAGCTAACTCCGGATTTATGCCGGATAACAATTTTCAAATTAACCGATCCGGAAGGATTAGCTGATGATGCACTTATCTACCATATTCCGGTTTTTATGATTACAGAAATGCGGCTCACAAAGGAATTATGTTTGTCCAACATAATACTGATAGATTTCTCGAGTTATTCCTGGAAAAATCTCATTAAATATACACCAACTGTTAACCAAAAGTTGGTGGATATGCTGGTAAGATATACTGAATAGACTGGTTTTTCATTTTAGATTCCAATAATTTTTTAATTTCTTAAATTAAGATTAATTATTTTAGTTGCATGCATTGCTTTTATGTGATTTAGCTAAATTCGTCCAAGCTTATTGCAGTTCTAATTAATTTTCTTATTTTTGGGTACAGCTTAAAATATGTTCAATGTATTTGGGAAATAACTTATATGCTTAACTCTGTAAAGTCTATTCAAAACAAGTATATCGCAATACAAATAGTGCTTTACAGATAAAATATAATATTATCTTATAGAATAGCTACTAAAATACAAGAAAATATGTATTTGACCATTCCAAAGCTACTGATTTAATGAGTTAATGACAACTGGTGAAGTACTAAAAGGATTTCCAAGAGACCTCAAAGATTCAATAACAATTTAATATTTCCAAATTCAGACCCAAATGATTAAATTTCTCAGTATTTTAACCCATTATGAAATGCTATTACAGATATCTGTGAACATAAGAATTCACTCATTACATTTCATCAATGTAACTGGTTTTATGGATCATATAATGAGAGTTCTAAAGTCCTTCGTTCCTGGTAAAATAGTAAACAAGGTACGTGTTGTTTATATTACCTCTGTGTACATTTTCCAAATGCAAAATATAAAAAACAAATTGCATATGTAATATTTCAGATAATTATTCACAAATCTAGAGAGTCTTTATGGGAATATATACCTAAAGAATGTCTACCAAAAGACTACGGTGGTACTCAGAAACCCTTGGACGAGATTTACAGTAAATATTGGAAAAAAAATTAATGTGAGTTTTCAAATACCCTTTTAAACTCCTAGGCGATTGGTGCGAACAAATCGAAGAATCTGAAGAGCTTTTCAAAAAGTTGCTATCCGCAAAATCGTCTGCAAAATTTGAACTTGATCCGAGCCAACAAGATGTATTTGGCTGCGGAGCAGAAGGCTCGTTTAGGCAATTAGTTCTAGATTAGTACACTGTAATTTCATTTCAAATAATACCTTTGTAAAAAAGTATATAATTTGTTTTCACATAAAGCCATTGGATTCATGTGATCTCCAAATGATTTACCAAAGCACGTATAAAACTCCAAAAGACGTTTATCTAATAATACGAAACCAATGGTGGTGCAGTAAAATTTGCAATAAATGCAAACAGCTTTTCCCTGGCAATAATTCGATAGTAAAACGTTGTTTATTGCTTAGTGCTCGACGTTTTCACCAAGCTGCTTTTATTCGCCTAATGTAAACAGTGTAAACATAAATTGTGTTTCAACGATTTTTCTTGCTTGGAGTCCCAATCACTATTTAGTTTAAGGGTTGATAAAGTTAACTGGCCCTCAATATACAATTTTACACATCTATGCATGATAGGTATGTGTATTTTGCAAATGTTATCTTTTGTTAATTATTTCCGCTTAAGTTGCCAGGGAGTTATAGAACTACTGAAATAGATCGAAAAATGAACTAAAAATAAAACATGTTTTATATAGTGTTGAAACGAAGTATATTTGACCATTGACCATTGACCATTTCATATTTCTTGGCCTCCTAATATGGTCGTATGTCCATTTCAAACAAGTCAGAATAATTTTCTGTATTTCGATTGCATAATAGTGCTGTGCTAATGACTACGGTTAGATCTCTTATTGCCTKCTTCRAGTATGCAATTATCGTTCAAAAGATTCAGTTTTTCAGTTTATATTCTGGCGGACAATAATAGTAACTCATTATTTTTGAATTTAACCAGGCATTGACAGAGCATTTTTTTTTAGCTCTCATATAATTTATAAGATGCAAATGCAAACATATGTCGATAATAATCCAGTCAGTGTCTTGCAACAGATACAATCTAAAAATKTGCATAAAGTATGAAACATTTTGTTCTTATTTCTGTTCTGTTTGTCTGTCTGTTTTGTCCTTAAACAAATTGCTACATAKGAAACAGCTTAGTCTTGGTTATATCAAAATTCTATACTAAGTGTTTTCTTGATTGTTGTATTTTCCTCTTGATTTACAATATTCATGTTATTGGTTTATACCAATGCTATTTTCTTAAATTAAAATGGATATTGCTTTTAAAATTATATAATTTTATAATCCCTTCCCCCTTGTATTTTTTAATTCAAATTTATGAAATGTTTGCAAAAGGCGAAAGCGGTAAGTTCTTCCTGATTCCAAACATTATTAGTCCACTGAGTCGCTAAAAACCCTTTCATTTCGATATATACGGACATTAATATCTTCATTAAAGTATGTAAATAATATTGACATTTTACTGTAAATTATTTTTTCAGTTATGATGTAACTATTTTTTAAATTATCATTGCGTATTTGGAGCATCTTGGAAGAAGAAGACAAAAAAGTTCTTGGTTGTGATTAAAATTTAAATTTGCGCTTAATCTTAAGCAGCGATTCAACAGTAAATAGATCTATAAAAAGTTTGGTCCACGGAAACTAATGGCATAAAATGTGCGAGCTACTTGATCGTATCCATAATTCAGTAATGTCGACTTACTTTTAAGATAACTATTCAAATTTGGACAAACGAATTTGTTTTGCTGTTCTTTCTTTAAATATTCTGCTTCATTTTGAATCTTAACCAAACCAAGTTCAGAATCTTAACCAGAGAGAATAGAGGAAATGCCAAAATACGAAATAATATCTCCATCACTACACCTGGCGCATTTTAGTCAATTTAAAACTGAAGTGAACTGTAATAACCAACTGATTTCATCTTAATGTGACTCTATTAGAAACTTAACTTCCAACGTATAACAAAATGAAATCAAACATGCATAAAATAATGCGACCATAAGCAACAATAATAAATAGGATCAAGGTATGCAGGCAATTTAGTGAATAAAATAACCTCACCTAATAAGGTAACTCAAAAAAAGTGAAATACGAGGCTCGTTATTTTCAATTGTGTATAGCGGCGCTTCGCCAAGAGAATGCAGAAATTTACACCAAATTACATAAATATAAAACATCTCCATTAAAAGTGCAGGGTGCTTGTTACTAGCCGTAATGAAACTGAGTAGCAGTAACAAACGTATACAAGCAAATATCAAATTCCCCTCATTAGACCTACGTTTCAAGTGAAATGCTGACCGAAATTACATTTTTGCCCAGTGAAGAAACTAATTACTTGGGTTAAACATCGCCGAAGTGTACTTTTATCCTCATTTTTACTTCCAACTACATCAAACTACAACGATTTCTAACCTGTAAGTTTTTTCTTGCTAAGTTGAATGCAATCAGAAATTTTACTTAAATCGTGATAAATTCAATTCACAGCTTTTGCCACAAATAATGAAATTCTATTATAACATTTTCGAGTCCACAAAGAAATTTCTCCCAAACAAGATCCTTGTAAATACCAAGACCAACGAAAAAATGTACACCAAATTACAAAAAATGATAGTAAGAACAAATTAAATGGTATGAAGAAAATATGATATGATGACTATCTGATAAAATGGACCACTAAAGTGGCTCTCGCAAGGAATATTGCATTTACCAAACAATTTTTACCAAAGTTCTTATAAGAATAATTATTAAAATTGTTTAGCAGTTGTATTATGGTGATAAAGTTGGTCCGCGCCGTGTGAATATTTTAAAAACAGTGGTAGAAAAAGTCCTGGGTAAGTGCGATTAATTTCTATGGTCTATTGTAAACAGCCAAACTTAGAGGAAATAAGTAAAAGTGAAGTAAATGAACTTCGGGACTTGAAGGGTTCTTAAATGTCTTCTTTGAAACCCAGCCAACATACAGATATCATGAATATTACTATAAGGCAAAAATAGGCTGGAAAACTTGAGTCTAATGTCCAAGAAAAGTGTTTGTGAACAGAAGATTCAACATTTAGAAGCAATTTTTTTTCAACCATTATGCCAGTCGAATATAGGTAAATTATATTCGACTGGTATAATCGGTAATAATGGTAATAATTCGACTTTGGTTTTTTCTCACTTCTATCCACTTCTCATTTTTACTTAGTCGCTTTAGTTTAGTGAAAACCATGTAAGTGCGTTACGTATTTGACTAATAGATTTGTTTTAAAATATTGACAAATTTTAACTATATTCCGGCTACAATTACGCGCAGTTTTACACATGTATGAAGAGCACAAGCAAATTATGACATGAATTAATAGACCATAAATAAACTAATATAAATTCCATGAAAATATATTCTTGGTTCATATGTATATGGTTTATCTGGAGTAGTACGCCCGATAAATTTATGTTGCCGGCATGAAAAGCTTAAATACTTTCAAAAAACACACCAATAAGAAAATTATTCTTAATACATATATATCTTTCAAATTAAATGTAGTTCACGTACGAATCACATTTAATAAGAGCATGTTATTTTGCATTTAAGGGATATCTTTCAGATGGTTTTAGCAGAATATTTTATAAATAGGTATGAAATGTCGGTGGGCTGATAAGTAATTTTAACTCATCGAAAATGAAAATTAAATAAACCGATCTAAATAGCAACGAAACTTGACATCTACCGCTACGTCAACCGAAATGTGTACGCGAAAAATGAATAGTAATTTCAGCAAAGTGATTTGCAAATCTGAACATGCGGAAAGTCAATATTGCAATGCGAGAAATTCAGAATGGAGGCGCCAATTCTGAGCCTTAAGAGTCCTCGACTATATAAAATATGCAAATAACCGTCTTCCACTTATCCGTTTTAATTTCAGAGCCTTCCAGAAAATATTTAGGCAAAGCATTGAGTCGTATAATTTGTATAATATAAATAATTCAACGTAGCATTCAATGATTTATTTTATTAAATATTTTTATCACCAATTCATTAGTAAATGGTTCGTTTCTATTTTCCATTTATAATATTTTTTTAATTCAATTTGTTCATAAACAATGTGAGTGTTGAAAATTAGGTTACATCCTGGAATCCAACAGAGAAAATCAACATGTATTATTCATTTTTAATAACCTGTACCAGAGATCAGCTGCTTGATTAAAAATTCAATAAAAACCATCTGTGGAAATAAAATTTCTGTAACCTTGAATTAAAAGTTTGTTAGTGAAATTTTTTTTTTTCATTTTTGTATGAAAACTCGAACAGTGCAAAATTATAAGTTTCACAAAATTTTGCATTTTACTAAAAATTGAGTGAATCAAAAAATCAAAAGTGATTGGGGAGTGATAATCTGACTGCATATTACAGCACATGGACCCTTAATATAATCTCAGGTAAAGGAAACGTGAAAGATTATTAAATTTGCAGAAGGTGTGATACGTGTGATTTCCAATATGGGATCTTTACAACCTATATAAACTTTTCCACATATTTATCTAAGAACTTTCCGAATGGGAAGTAATAACAGTTTCTATTTGAATGTTTCAATTTCATTCTCTATTAATATACTCGAATAGTAATAACGTTTTATGAGGCAGAGAGAATTTTCCAGAAGTGTGCTTGGGGTGTTTATAAAAATTAATTATTTCAGCCATTTAAACCGGCTGCTGGTAGCAGCTTTCAGGGCGCAATTTTTTTATGTCGAACATGAGGAAGTTTGAAAAACTTTCGATTGAATTATTGAAAGCTTGATAACAAAGTTATTATTATATTCCTTTTCTTTCCTGGGTTTCAGTCTAGATTCTTTTAGGTCATTGCTGTCTTGAAACCTCAAATTTGTTTGAACTATTGTCTACATTTCGAATTATTGTCTACAGAAAATATAGACCATAATTCAAACAAATTTGAGGTTTCAAGACAGCAAAGACCTAAAGGAATCTAATGTTTTCCAATTATGAGTTTGTGTGAATTTTAAATGTGATGATGGCACTCTTGTCTCGCTGAAACGTTATGAAATAAACGATATAAAAAATTTTATTTCACACTTTGACTGAAACCCAGGAAGGAAAAGAATATAATAACAATTACACACAGTCAGGAAAAAAAATTACGACAAAGCTCAACAACGCTTTCATTCGTGTTTTAGAACTAGTCCCTATTTTTTTGTATACCGTCAACAGGGATTCTACCCTATTGTTAACCGCCTAATAAATTTATTAGAGTTCGATCACTCTCCCTTAAACTGCTATTCACTATTGATCGAAAAACATATCGATAGGGCCGGATGTTTCCTATGCGAATTCCATAATTAGCTTTTAATTCAATTTTGGGTTTTCCGTAATAAGCCATATTTATGCCAAATTACCGTATGCAATTGAATTTAGATTATGATTGTCCGCAGATAAATAGCGATAATTTTGCTCCCAATTGCCCACATTTGTGCGAACATTGTTAAAACCTCGAATCGAACGAACGTTTCATCAAATTATAGACCACACTAAAATACCTTTGACGTTAATTATAGTAAAATTAGTATCAAGTTTAATTGAAATTGCGTCCCGCAAAACACTTAGGACTAACCATGCCCGGCATTGATAATCATCACCAAGAGTTTAAGTTGCATGATTTATTATACCTATAGGAAATCCACAAAATGAATGAAATAACTGCATAGTTATAATTGATTAATCCAGGCTCATTTTGTACGATATATATTTTTCGTTACTAACAAACCCGTAAAATAAATGCATGGAATTCTTTACCAACGCAGAATGTCTAAAAGAGAACTTTATCGAATTAAGGACGAGCTATGCATGCAAAACATGTTTGTGGAGCTGCTGTATTAAATTTTAAGACAAATACCTTTGCTGAAACGTCTAGCATTGTAATGCTTGTAACGCGAGTAAGCACAGAAAACGATAAGTAAAAGTAAGCAGATAAAAGTGCGGAAAGTTAGACCGTAATCGCTATTGATAAAATCAACAAGAAAGCAAACTCGTTTTCAAAATTGCTACATGGATTGAATTACAAAATTTCGTTGAACATTGAATTAAATATAAGTTTGTTGGAGTTAGTTGTTTACTCAACATTGAATTCTATTTTCAACTAAATAAATATAAAGCTATAACAAAATAATAAACTATATTTATTAATAAATACTTTTAATAACAGGCTAGGTAGCGAAGTAGTTTAGAAATAACATTCCCACAACTAAATATTTTAATCAATGCCACATTTGTTCCA